GGGAAAGAGAGAGAGATATATATTAAGAGTCACCGGTACGACCACGAGGTACAAGCCAATGAAGGAAATCAGCTTGAATGCAATGGGATGCTAGTTTACCGGGGGCCAGGTAGTCGAGCTCGGGACGAAGGACTCGAAGGAAGCCATCTGGCTGCGCGTCGCTATCTAGGCGCCAATCTTGGCCGGCGTGTGCCTCGTTGCAGGCGTGGGCAAAGTGAAAGCCTCCGAGCTTCCAAAGGCCACCTTTGCCGGTCAGAAAGATGGAGCCTGGAAAGAGGTTGCCATGCACCAGACCAGCCTTGTGACAAAAGCCCAGTGCTTGGCAGATCTACTTGTTGGCAGATTGAATGCGTGCTTGAGCAAGCGAATTGGCCTTAGGGAAGGCAACGGGCCGATCGGCCACACATCTCGAGCCGGGAAAAAAAAAAAAAAAAAAAAAAAAAAAAAAAAAAAAAAAAAGGTGTGTGGGGGTACACTCACCTGAACAAAGCCCATGTCCAGTTCGACCGTGGACAGGTCTGCCGGCAAAACCGCTGGCTGGCCATCCTGACGCATCAGGTCAAGCCGTAAGCTCGAGTGTGGAAACGGTCGAAGCGAGCAAATCGGGATGACGCTGCACCCGGTCTTTCGGTCGACCGGGAACGGACAGCACACACAGGGCAGAGCATATGGCAGCAAATCATGTACTTGGGGGAGAGTGGGACGCAAAGCGTGGGCAAGGCTGGCTAGCAGTGGCTCAGTGGCAAAGGCCAGCCAGTCCTTGGTTTCTTGCAGGGGCATGCACACTTTGACCACGTAGGGGTGATGCAGCTTGCCCAGCTGGGTGCGCGAGGCAGCAGCGACACGTCAACAATAAATCTGGCAATTTTTGGATGAGATATCTGGAGGCAGGCGGACTGACTTGAAGAGCGCCACGGCGGAGCACCGCTAAGATGGCTTCACGATCGGCCTTTGAGACACTCTTATCGTGGTTGAGAGCCTTGCGATCAAATACAAAGACCGTAGCGGCCTGAGGTATGGCAAGCAGAGGGCAGCACCTCGCTGTCAGAGGGATCGGGGAGGCCGGAGCATTACCACAAGCCTGCCCACAGCGCTTGGAGGCAGTCAAACAACGATAAAGCGACGTACTTCATGTCGCGTGCGATGCGTAGCATCATACAGCTGCCAAGCGAGGCCGGGCCCTGCCCAGTGTCAGTCAAGATGAGAGATCGAAGGAGAGCATCTTCAGACAATCAGGCGCAATCGGCAAAGCTCACCCCCAAAACCGCGGCTTTCCCCAAGGATGTACTCCTTGGACAAGGGGTTTGATTTGAAGATGCTCATGGCAGTACTTTAACTTTATCCGCCCCCCTCTCCGGCCACCTTCCCCTGCTCTATATACCCGGCAGACCGCGAGCTGCCACCGCACCGCACCCACACTGCGCCCGTCCGAAGCTTCAGCGGAAGAGAAAGTGGATCAGCCATTACACTTTTGAATGGCTGTCTGTATTTTTTTCTTACAAAATAAGTTAGGCAGCATGGCTCTTTCGCGTATTGTCAAGATGTGTGTGGGCGGGCGGAGGTGTGTGGGAGGAGTCGGAAGGCGGCAAAGAGTGTGTGTTGTACGGGAGTAGGAGGGCGGCAAAGAGTGTGTGTTGTACGGAAGTAGGAAGGCCGCAAGAGTGTGTGTGTTGTACGGGAGTAGAAAGGCCGCAAAGAGTGTGTGTTGTACGGTGGAGGAGCGGGCAGGGAGGCAGGGTCAATGTCCGTTTACTTTGATCGATTGGCCCGACACTCGTTGCCATCGGCATCGAGGCCAAGGTTTGTGCTAGCTCTTTGTTTGCAATAATGTTATGGCCATTGCAATAAAATATTATGGCCGGGTCAGCTACACACGTCTTTTGTGTAGCCGAGACGGGCCAACCAGGTGGCATGTGTGGCGCGAAGGTGGGCGATAGTGGCGGGTCGCAGGTCAGAGCAGTGGGCCCCAGGCAAGACATGGCGCTTGTGGTGGCCATTGGCCTCAAAGCTGTTGCCCAACTCTGCGACGAGCACTGCGTGCAACTCCTAAGAACGGACCAGCAGGCAGGCATGTTGCACCGGGTTACAAGGGACTTTTGCTGAAATGTGATATGTGGGACAGGGCATCACCCCCATCAAAGCATGACGACATCACCCCATGTATTACAAGCGTGACACAACCCTGTTCACATATCACGTCGATGCAGGACAACGATGCACACGCGCTCACAGTGTCCGTGGGCATGTGCACCGAGGCTCAACCGGCAACAGGTATGCCTACCGTGCGATGAGCTGGGCTCATGGGCCAAAGGGCTAGCACGTCCCAGACCCAGGAGGAGAATTGCGTGACCATGTCCGCATATGCTGACCAAACAACCTACGGTCATATCCAATGAGCCAGGCTAAAGCGGCGGCAAATAGAGAGGAAGAGGGCGCGCATGGGCCGCCAGCAGGCAAATGCCGGCGTGGTCATACATGAAGGTGCTCAAACTCCTTTGGACGTTCAGCTAGTTTGCGAACAGTGCCATAGCGGGAGTTCCACCAAGTCTCATTGTTCAGCATAACTGCGGCATACATATCCACACCCATGTCTTGAATCGCTCGCCGATGCTCTTCAAACTACCAACACACCGTCCAAATAGGTTCGGCATGAGACGGCAGTGGACGCAAAGGGCGCAGGGACTGAGGGCGCTGTGGTGGGGGTGTTTACCAGCTGAAGCTGCTCGGCCGTCCGGGTACGAGCATTGGGTGGTGGGTGGGTGTAGCCAAAGCTCCAAAACTCGCTGACGATCTGATCCAACGGGTGCCGGTGGTGGAGCACAATTGTCACGTTGTAGCCTATTGTAGGAAGAAGGAAAGGCGGTGGCGCGCCGGTGCTGGCTTGAGGCTTGAGGCGCACGGCACAGCCTTGGAATCTGGGAGGAAGCGGTGGCGTTTTAGAATGTGCAAACGGAGCGGTATGTACCAGCTGCCTGCAGCTGGTCGAAGACGGCCAATGGCAGAACGTTGATGCGAATAGGCCCATAAATAAAACCGTGCAGGGCAGCCGGCATTTCGCTGTGGCGCTGTAAGGCCACAGGACTCTGCGTCATGACCTGGCAAGAGAAGGTGGCAGGGGTGAGCCACCCGAAACCCTCTGCACACCTCGCCCTGGGGCCGGGATCGTTGGCAATTGGTATCAATACGCACCTCAATTTGATGGCTCGACCAGCGAGGGCAAAAGTCAGGGGCATGTTGGCTGTAATGCTGCATCAGCACATTGCCATCGCGGCGACACCTGAAGCCCGCCCAGGAGAATGGAGAAGAGCAGGTGAGACCATGGAAGTGAAGTGGGTTCAATCAGGCATAGCCAGCTGGAGAAAGCGAACCGTTTGTAGTCGGCGCACACTCCTGCAAAGCTCTGTTGAGCAATCCGATGCCAGCAGGCGTCGAGATGGTCGACGAGGCGCTTGAGCACGTCTTGCACAAACATACTCCCGCTCTTGTGCGGGGCCAGGAAAAAGAGTGCCGGCGGGGCCGCAGTTGTCAGAGGGACGGCACGGGGCATCGATGGCGCGCTGGTTCGAAGTCTGGGCTCGTTTGCCTTTGGGGCAGGGCGCCGCGGAGCAAGGACTGGTGCCTCCTTGGGGTGCAGGATGGATACCACAGCTGGCTGAGCCAACGACGACCTCGTGACCATGACAAGCAGCCAGATGGCGAACCATCGCAGCGGCTGAGCAGCCACGCCCATGACTTCCAGCACTCGACGCACGAATCGGGGTGGTAAAATACAGACACAATGCATGCACGCACGCATGAAGTATTCTTTGGGTGCCACTTTTCGACGTGAGATGCCACTTTTGTGTTGTGATCGACAGGCAAGGAAGGGGTTTCTCTTTTGCTTATAGGGTAACTCATCCATGAGCATCGCGAACGACTGATGGCACGCGCCAACGCAAGATGCCATGGTTGAGAGGAGACATGATATCAACGGTCTTTTGAGGATCAACTGGGTGCGCGAGAGAAAAAGTCGCGGACGACAAACGCGTGGCATTTATCGGTTAGACTTGGCAACACGCTCCAGCTCGTCCTTCTTCTTGATGGCGTACGAGTTGGAAGAGCCCTTGGCGGCGTTGATGAGCTCATCGGCCAGGCACTCGGCAATGGTCTTGATGTTGCGGAAAGCGGCCTGGCGAGCGCCAGTGGTCAAAAGCCAGACAGCCTGGTTGACGCGGCGGAGGGGAGACACATCGCAAGACTGGCGGCGGACAGTGCCGGCGCGGCCAATGCGGGTCGAGTCCTCACGGGCACCAGAGTTGGCAACAGCCGACACCAGAATCTGGACGGGGTTCTGTACAAAGCAAAGCACACACGCACGATCATCGATGGCATGAGCCGGCGGAAGGAACAACGCCACGATGCAACTTCATCCGGTCGCACAACCATGGCATAGACAAAAGACTGACCTCGCCAGTGGTGAGGTGGATGATCTCGAGGGTGTGGCGCACAATGCGGGTGGTCATCAGCTTCTTGCCGTTGTTGCGACCGTGCATCATGAGCGAGTTGATCATGCGCTCGACAATGGGGCACTAATCATCCATCCCGACGATGACCATCCAAGGTGAGGAACCAGGGCGAGATACGATAAAAAACGTGACTGAGCGCAAACGGTTCTTGACACATTGTGTCAGTAACCACCTGCGAATATCGAGACACATCAACACACCTGGGCCTTGCGGAAGCGCTGCTTAGCATAGCGGCCAGCGGTGTGGGGCACAAACTTGGCGTGCTTGTCCGACACAGCGATGTAATCCTATATGGATGCCTCGCGTGAGCACAACATATGTCCAGAGCATACTCGCGGATACCAACACAAAGTGGTGTCCAAAGCCCGAAATGACACGATGCCCAACGTACCGCGAGGGAGATGTCCTCAACCTCAACATCCAGGGACCACTTGCCGAAAAGCTTGATGTCGACCTCCTGGATCTCGGTGGCAAACTCCTCGGTTTGCTCGAGCTCAACATCCTGAACCTGCACCTCATCGGCCATGCTGCACAAACCACAGAGAAAGCGAATAACCACACATGGGCATGAGATGGGTCGCCTGCTTTGAATCATCAACGATAATAACGATAAAAGTCTGAGATATGAAAAGACAGACGACACAGCACCCATGCTGTCTCGTCCCTGTCCACCCCTCGCAATGTGTGTATGCATCTACGCCTAAAGACTGCTTCCTGTGGGATGGGATGCATGGCTGGAGGAGCAGGCCGGCCCCCTCAAGCACGCGCGTCGAGCGAGCACGAGATCACGTTGCTTGGGGTAGCCGCTTGGCCGGAGCACACCAGATCAAAAGGGTGGGCCCGCAATGGCGCCATCACCAAGGGACCAGGCATGCACCACCATCCCACTCTCAGCAATGCACGTTGGGAAGGAGCGGCCCCTTTCGCTTCCAACACCTGCGCGCGCCTCGGCCGATATGTTGTGTCTCGCTCCCGTCATGCGTTGTGCGCGCGCTTGTCCATTCGGCCGATCAGGAACCATGCCATTGCCCTTTCCCACACACGCTCATACATCGCGTCAACCCGGCACTGCCACCGATACCAGGCTGAATGAAAGGGCAGCACCGGTGTGCGGCGCGAGGAGATCCACCAAGCACCAAGCACCGAGACCAGGGCCCGGGCCCGAACCCAAGAGCAGGTCTCTCTCGCTCTCTCTCACCTGGCGGTGTTGTTGAAAGAAAGAAAAGTGGCATGGGCATGGAACGCACTTTGTATTGTTTTGGGCTGATTTTTTCGTGTAGTTTGATACCCACATGGAACTTCAACGCCTACATTTTGACCCCCTTGATGCGGAATGGACGAAAGCAGTCACCTATTTGTCAGCCGAGTTGAAAAAAGAGGATCAGCACATCATGTATATTCTCCTCTAAAACTAATTATCGAGAGCAAAGGCATTGGCTTTCACGTGTGTCAATCGATTAAGAAGGGGGGCGAGGCGCATCTCAAGGACGCGGCGGCGAGTCAAACTAAGAACAGGGGTTGGAGCGCTATGGATGAGGCAGGGCAATATCATGCTTACACGTCACGGGCAACAGGCACACGAGGGAGTCACTCCATCTACGTGAATGTCAAGGCGGCGAACGACACACATCGTCGCGAACAACACCCATGCCTCGTGGCTTCGAAACAACGACTCTGACTCAAAACTCGAAAAGAAACAAGACCCCAAACTACAACAAAAACAAACTGATGATCTAAAGCGCCTTTGGGACGCTCACACAAAGCTAAAACGCGTTGGAGAAGCAGAGGTTGGTTGGGCATCATCATGGGCCATCTCCAGACTTGCTTCGTCGCTGGGCTCAGGACTGGCGTCACTCAGCTCCATCGAGTGGGGCTTACGACGCGGGGGCCCCGGAGAAGAGGCTGGGTGCGCCGTGGGCCGCAGCTCTGATTGCTTGTATTGGGGTGTGGCGGGGGTGGGTGAGTCCATGCTTGGAGCACGCTTGACGGGGGTGGGTGCGCTCGAAGAAGCCGCGGACAACGGCTCAGCATCGGCGCCCAAACCATCGTCAAACTGCACGTCGGTGAGCACCGTCTCGCAAATGTGATCCAAGAGCACATCCAACTCGGCACCATTGCCCAAGACCGAGTTTTTCAGCATGGGTCGAATGCCAAACATGTCAAGACGGCGGCTCGAGATGAGGGCAGGCAGAGAGACGGTTGCGGTTTGCGGCGGTAGAGTAGCACCGCAGACGGCGAGGAAGGTGCAGATGGCGGCCACAGCCGATGGACCGGCCTCGGCGCAGTTCAAGCTGGATACGGCCACGTCGCAGAGCTCACACGCAATGTCATTGACGTCAACAAATTCATAGTCCCGCACGCTCGTCTCCCGAAAGTCGCTGATGGCGACCATGAGATAGAGCGCGACAAAGTCATAGGGGCTGGGCGCATGCAGATCCCAGTCGAGCGCCAAGATCAACTCGCGCTCCAAAAACTGGGCAAGCACACCGTGAAAAGACCAAAAGAGGTGAGCGCTGCCAGATGGGCTGCCAGGTGGGCGGGATCCTGGCATCAAGAAGCTAGATGCCGGCGCGGCGCTCAAGGCGCTTACCTTAAAGTCCTGTGCACCCTTGGCTTCGTCAAGGGACATGGAAAAGGCCAACGAGGCTAGATGCAGGGGGGCCCGGCCAGCGTACTTGGAGGCCAGTACAAGACAAGCTCCACAGAGCTTCCAGATAAACATGGAGCTGGGGACGGCCAAACGCCGCGAATTGAGATAGCGGTCAAGGATCATGACGGCAAAAGGCAAGGCTTCCTTCGAGGCCCCGGCCTGAACAAAGGGGGCCAAGACTTGCCACATCTTGAGCACAATTTCGCGACGCAGGGCCACGGGCACGCCGAGGTGGCGGAGATGGCGACGGTAGCCCTTGGGAATCCAAGCCTGCTCGGCCTTGAACATGGCCTGGAGTTGTTTCTTGCCGAGCCGACACTGGCTGACCGTGGGCTGACCCAAGAGCCCCGTGGCTCGCTGGCGCTTGGCGCTACTGCGCGTGCTCGAGCCCGAACGCTTAAAGCTCGAGCTGCGACTGCTACTGATGTTGCTGGTTTCGCTCACCGTGCCACCAATGCTGAGCGCCTCTATCCGCGGGCATTTGAGGGGGTCACCCGTGACGGCCTTGTCGGGGACCACGGCCTTGCTGTTGGCCTCGGGGCACAAAACAGCCTCGGCCAGGGTTGCGCTGGGGGTTGTGGTCGCGGAGATGGATTGGTCGAGGGGGTCTGTGGCCGCGGCGGCCAGGGCCTCGGCTTTACTATCCATGGGATTGGCGTGACTCTCCTGGTGCTTCGCCGTGGTCATGTCGGCTTTGGAGGACGCGGGTGCGCGAGCAAGCGTTGCCGTGCTCATGACGTGACGGGACGATGGGGGATTGGGGCAGGAACACAAGGCGTCGAGGAAGGTTTTGAGGGAGGGGGCGAGAATCGTATCACCTGCCGGCGCGCCTCAAAACGAAGGAAAGGGCGGCGTCTTGAGAAGCCGAGCGAGCAACGCCGGGTGGGATTGGACCAAAAACGTCGTTGCACAGCGCACAACGGAAAACTGGGGTGGCTGAGCCGTGTGCAGCCACTGGGTCCACGCGCGCAGGCTTGGAGCTTTGACACCTTGTGGCAGGTGGCAGCGCCTCCCCCCTCTACCCACGACTGCGGCTTGGGGCTGTCTTGACTCGTCAGGCAAAGAGTGGTGGGTGCAAGCGTTTTGACAAACGCAACCTCAACGGACAAGCCAACCGTGCAAGCGAGCAACGGACAAGAGTTCATGGACAGACCAAGAAGCAATCGTCTAATGTGTGTGTGTGTGTGTGTGTGTGTGTGTGTGTGTGTGTCTTGGCCGACAAGCAGAGCCCAAGGGAGGGGGGTTGAGTCGAGTCACAGCAGCTGTGTGTCGTGTCGTCTGTGGAAGATGTGGTACGAAAATACGATGCCAGGACCAAGAATCAAATCATCCGGCCCCTTGACTTCCGGGCCGCCACTATTGCCGCACATGTGACTGGGTGACGCATGATCACGGGTGGGATCGTAGTGCCGAGTCTGCGTGATGATCAAAGGCCCATCCCTGTCACCTGCGCGACGCTCCAATCCGTCGTGCCTCGCACTCGCAATCTCCCCCATCCCGTTCACATTGCTTTGCATGCACGCAAGAGTATGTACCTGAGGGTGTGGTGATTTTGCGTTGACATCTCTTTGGTAGAGCGGCGTGTGTGTGGTATTCGTTTCAACTGCGTCTGGGGACTTGATTTTGGTCTTTTGTTCAAAAGTCCTACTTTTCTCAAGTGTGATCAACGCAATCAACTTGAGCAGAGGTGATGTCTGGCAAGTGTAGTGGAGACGCCTGTGATGCATGAGTTGATGATGCTATTGTAGCCGCATCAAACGCTTGATGCGGCTGGGCCGAATGAGCGTCAGCATGGTCGTCGTGTGTTGATGAGCTTTTCAAACCAGTCAAGAACAATGCATGCAGGACCGCGAGGGATTGAAGCTGGTGGTGCTGGTACGATACCCAGGGCCGTCGTGATGACGCACTTCCGCATCCATCTGACTCCTGGCGCTGAAGAGATTTGAACATGCTTTTTGACTTTCAAACTCATACAGAAAAAAAGTAAAAACAAGTCAGGGGTTCGGACAATCATCAAGGCTTTTTAATGGCGTGTGAAGCGGCTCGTCATCCGTGCCCTCGCCCCTCATAAGCTGGTCGAGCTGAAATTGGGGTATCTGATCATCCGGCCAACTCGAGTAGTTTTGTGTGGCGGGCACGAGAGCTGGGTGCATTTCATACGCAACGAGACCTGCCCCTCCTTCCGTGGCCCGCGTGTGTGCAAAGTAGATGTCGACAGGCTCGGGCCATCGTTTGCAACTGGGTGTGTTGGAAAGAAAAGAATTCTCAGATGCGTCCAGATACACGGCAAAGTGCACAAATACAATTTACGGCGCGCCATGCAGTGTCCATTTGCTTCATCCACGAAGAAAGGCGCAGTGCGTTACCAGCATCGACATCTTCCGCATGCACCTGTTGGCTGTGCTATGATAAAATGATGGTCGGCCCAGCCGCCGAGGTGATGGACATGTCGAACACCACATGACGTGGTGCCACTCTGCCCACAAACCGACATGGGCGTTGGCGAACGTATTCAGCTGGCCGAGCCCGACCCTCGACGCCCACGTCTCAATGCAGGGTGTACCAAATGGAAAAGATAATGCAGCCGGCAATCACCGTGGCCAGGATCACGGTATCCTTCTTCTTTTTCATGCTGATGCGCTGGGAGAGGTTGTTGATGAGGGGCAGTCGTTGCATCGTGCTCAGCAACTTACTGCCAGCGCCTTGCAACACGTTGCGCTGCTCCAACAAGGCCTCCCGAGCAGACATGGCCAAGCTACGTCCATCAAAGCGGGGTGGACACCATACGGGTGAGGTCACCTATCCCATTGCACCTGCTGGGCGCAGGTCACAATGGCATTGGGCTGGGGTCCGAGTGCCGCGAAAGACCAACCTGACAGTGTCATCCGCAATGCGCGTCGAGCTGTGCGACGCAAAGGTGCAAGGTCACGTTGACATCAAGGGCGATCACCGCATCCAGGCCATAGCAAGGGGGATGGTAACAGACGAGCACCACAGTGAGCATGTGTGCACATTTCCTTTCAACAGACCACCATCCAAAATAGGGGGTAGGGGACCGGCCAGCAGAACCACAGCGCTCAAAGTATCACGGAAGAAGAAAAAAAAAAAAAAAGTGCCACACAATGCTGGGGCCAGAGCAACGCAAGGTACCCCGCCAGACCAAAGCTCAAGCTCGTCGAGCACACGCACCTCGCGATATGATCGCTTTCTTGCATGTACAGCTCTTCATTGCGGCTGCCATGTGCCTTGTAATCACTACAACAAAGACGTTTTGGATTAAAAGTCCATCGCTTCAAGCAGAGGCACCCGCCTTTTCAAGGCAGTGGCAACAGATGTGCACACGCCACACGAACCGAATGTTGTTGCGCACGGAGGTGAGCAACTCGCCACGCTCGCGCTGGTGGCGGTTATTTGCCTAAGAGCCCAACGTGCCAAAATTCCATCAGCTGCCTTGACTGGGACTTCAAAAGCAATAACCGGCTCACGGCATGCATTTCTTCCATGTGTGCACCTGTGTTTTATGAAACTCTTTGGAGTAATCCATCAGAATATCCCGATGTCGGTCCACCGTGTGCAGCATGGTTGCCGTGGGGTGCTTGCTCCCACCGATCCGGTCGGCAAGCGAGTCGTTCACAACGGTCAACTACGCAAACGTATCAGGGCGACCATGCGCAGTGCATGCGAATGATTCGGCATGAGCTCAGCCACACCAACTACAGCTACGGCGAGGCTCGCCACGCACTTCCTCCAGCAGCCCTTGCAGCTCTTGTTCCAAGCGACCGGCGGTCTCCCTGAAATGAGTCACAACGACAATGCCACACGTATCATGATGAATTGGGATCATCCGGTTGCAGTCGTAACTCGCGTTGATGTACAACATGGCGTGGGCACGCAACGCAATCATACTTGTCCTCGGCCCGCGTGCTGGCTCCGTATTTGCTGTGTCCAGCCATGCAATTCACGTTGCAAATGAGTACCTGACGTCCAAGGCCAGGCAGGGCCGGCACTCTCGCGGCCTACATCTCATTATCACTTGAGCTCCCTTTGTCCCTTTGTCAAGATCCCGGCGCGCGCGCACAGACCTGTAGGACATGAGCTTGATGTCAATCTGATTCTCCAGCTCGCGCGCCTGGCGCCGTAGCTCTGTGCCAACCACCCAAGTCAGACATGAGCTGCCTGCACAAAACACATGTCCAGCCCACGAGTAATTTGCAGGCACCATCGCACTCGAAACACACCTTCCCACGTCATGGCGGGCCGTAAACGCGGAAGATCCGCGTTGGACTGGAGCCCCTCCCGTCTCTGTCGGCCAAACCCAAGACCTGCCAGCAGGCAGCTCGACACGTCCTCCTACGCCTGTGCACACCAGAAGGCACAAGGCGCTCTGTACATGTGTATGCAAAACACACGCGGCTAATACAGTACCCTTTCCCTCAAACCAACCAGCCAACAACCCTTCAAGAGCCAGTCCGAGTGAGACCTGCTACGCGGATACTCGGGCAAAGCCACTCTAGATCTGTGTGCTGCTCACGCAAATTGACGCGGTGCGCGCGCTAATTCATCTCTCTCTCTGTCTCTGTCTCTGTCTCTCTCTCTCTCTCTCTCTCTCAATTCTTCTCTCACCAAACCAATTCATCTCTCTCTTTCTCTCGCTCTCTCTCTAACTCTCTCTCTCTCTCTCTCTCTCTCTCTCAAACTCTCTCTCTCTCTCTCTCTCTCTCTCTCTCTCTCTCTCTCTCTCTCTCTCTCTCTCTCTCTCTCTCTCTCTCTCTTTCTCTTGTAAGCGGAAGTCTGGTCCATGTCACACTTTGTTGATCAAAACTCCTGACTTCCTCTTGTAAACGCGTAATGTACTCTATGCCACACTTTTAGAAAGGTGCAGTACATGATAGACTTTGACATTGTTAGCAATATATTGTTGTGAACTATAGTTGTTGACATTAGGTTTACTCAGCGTCTTGCCTGCATGCTTGCTTGGGCACTTGGCAAGAGACGATGGCATTCGCTTTCAGGTGCGTGTGAGGCTACAGGGATCCAGGTGACAACGGGGAACGGGCGGCGATGCACCGAGCTGCCACTGCGGCCGAGGCGCGCTGCCTCTTGCTGGCCGATGAGGCGACCGCCGCCTATCTCGAAGCCCATCCACGAGCCTCCATCGCCGACATGACCATCGCGTTTCTGCGCCAGCGCGCTGTGAATGCGACCTTGGTGCTCTACAAGGAGCTCGAAAAGCCTCAGATCCGGCGTGAGCTGGCCGCCTTTGCCAACTTTGATTGGTCCCATGTTGAGGACATTGCTGCGGAGCTCGATGATGAGACCTCCAGCTTCCGGCACGACTGCTCTGAATTTGTCAGCACGGTGCTACAGGTTCGACCACCCCGCCCGGCTCCGCTCACCACCACATGCCCAATGCTTTGAGACGATGTCAAACAACTTGTGTTTTGTCTGCCTCTTTCGTTGCCTGGATCGCAAGCCTCCATCAGTCAAAAGCCGCGAGGCCTGAGTATCCAGAGTATCCACTCTCATTCACTCACGCTCATGGTTGGGTTGGATGGTTGGGCCAGGTCTATGAACGTGATTTCATTCGCCTCGAAAGTGGCTGGCGATCCGACGTGTTTGATGGACAACACCCCGATTTGCGCTATCTTTTTTGTGGTGGGCCCGCTGATCCGTTCCGCACCCTCCTTGCACTCGTCTCCTTTGTGTGTGTGTGTGTGTGTGTGTGTGTGTGTGTGTGTGTGTGTGTGTGTGTGTGTGTGTGTGTGTGTGTGCTCATGGTGTCTGCGCCTGTGTGCTCATGATGTCTGCGCCTGTGTGCTCATGGTATCTGCGCCTGTGTCGGCCCTTCCACGCTGAACAGGCATAACGCTGGCGCTTCTGCTCAACAGCATTCCTTCCAAGATTGACCCTGTCGAACAGGTTGTGCATGACTTGACAATTGCCATTGCGGACTTGCCCGTCTGGATTCATGCCCTCGAGCTGTACGGGCCAGCCCAAGGCCTGCCGCAGATATCGCATGTCCAGCGCGCCGACACAATTGATGCTTTTTCCGCTCGCACCTGGAACGAAACGCGGTCCGCCCTGGCTGCCCGCCAGGCAGCTCGCCGCTCCATGACTCAAGCCATCACGGATCGAGACGATCTCCCAATCTGTTCCAACTGTGGCGCGGTAGGTTGCCTTCACCATTCACTGAGCATCACCTTATTCCCGATTTGTTGCTGTATCTGACAACGCGCGCCTGTGTCCTTTCTGGTCCTGCCCCGTGTCCAACCCAGTCACTGAGGCACGCCTATAGCTTGCAGCGCTGTGACGCATGCGAATGCATTGCTCTACATTACCGGGTGCGAGCCCGGATGCCGCGGACCTCTTCCGAGTATCGGCACCTGCGTGTCCCGTCAGAGCGAACCATGCCAGCTCGAGCCAGATCATCTTCCGTCTAGAGAACGACATCTTTCCAGCATGTGGTCAACGAGGATCATCACACTGTTTTCCATCTTAATCGATCATTTCCTATGCAATTCAAGTTGAGTTTATTGGGTGCATCTGCACGCACCACCATCCCCACGACTTAATCCAAGTCAAAGCCAGGCGCAGCCTGTACACAGCCTTGGTGCACACCTTTGCAACAACACAACGATGAGTCTCCTTAGGCCCCGATCCAGCTCAGGCCAAATCCCCGTCACGGCGCAAACGGGCTTCGATGCGGCGCAGTTCGCTGTAAACCAGCCGCCCGACACGTGCTGGAGAATACATGACATCAGCTGCTTGGCGCGCAAGAACGCCCTTTTGGCGGCGCGCCTCCGCATTATCGGCCGCTTCCAGCAGCAATGCTTCAAGCGCCGTCACGTTGGGCATGGCCCATTGATGGCGACCCCGGAATGGACCGTCTGGCAGGGGTACGAGACCTTCAATGGGGATTGGATATCCGTTGTCCCGGGTCATGTAGGCCGTCGGACCGCTCCAGTTGGTGGCCATCACGGGAAGGCCCGAGGCCATGGCCTCAACGTGCGGTCGCCCAAACCCTTCTCCATGCGAGGGAAGCACAAACACATCTGCTGCGCGATAGAGCTGCGGCATCTCACCATCGGGCACAAAGCGCTGGCTGACAAAAAGAGACGGCCACAAGGCTCGGATCTGTGCACTGGTGACCCGCCGGCCCCTCTCCTGCAGATACTCTACCAAGGCTGCGCGCACATGCGTTTGTGCTAGCTCGTTGAGATCGGCCGAGGAATGAAAGCGAGACGTGACAATGTGTAGACTGGCCCGACACGAGCCTGCAAAGGCCCGCGTGAAGGCGCGCAGAAGCAAAGGCCAGCCCTTGCGAGGCTCCCATTTGAAGACGCTGAGGAAGCGCGTGTGCAAAGGTGCGGGCTGGGCAGGGCCTAGGCCGGAGACACCACAAGGCTGGTCGATCAGCAAAGGGGCAGTCAGCGGCAGCGCTAGAGCAGGGCCACCCGGGGAAAAGCGCGCTGTGTCCACTGCCTCTGGTACCACCCTTAAGCGCGCTCGGTCCATGCCAGCACGGGCAAACGTCTCAACGTGAAAGGCCGTGGGCACCCAAATCTCGTCCATTGTGCGACAGCGCTCGATCCACTCGTATGGCACGCGGTCAGTCTCAAACATCGTGCGACCCACAACATAGAGAGGCTCTTCAGCAGGAGGACAAAGTGATGTCTCGTAGCGGGGCGGATTCCAAGCGCCGGGTTCCGAGTGGCACACTACCACCGTTTCGTCTGGATCGCTTGTAGTGCGAGCCAGCGCAGCCAGCTCCCGCTCCTGCTCCGAGTCAAGCGAAGCCACGAATTCGGGGTCTGGTGTGTCCCCATGTTGGGAGATGCGTAGCTGTAGCCGGGACACTTGGCGCAGCGCGGCAATGTACGCGCGCGCCTCACTGCCATAGCCCGAAGGGGAGGCAAAGGGCGCAAACCAGTGCACGGTAAACCCTAGCGGCGGCAGCAGCGTTGTGGACTGTGACAAGGCACTGTTCGCCTCGGGTTGCGGCTCCACCGTGGTCAAGGCAGCAGAAGAAACGGCTCCCGGGGTACCCGGGATCGAGGGGCCTGAAGCAATGACGGGCCAAGGAGCCTTTGCTAGGTCGTCGGAGCGAGAGATGCCCGTCCAAACCCAACTCCAGGCCAGCAAGTGGAGGCCAACCACGAACAGCGACACCCAGCCCCGACGCCCAGCCATGACACCATTGTCCTTGCCAACCTCAACACAGTTTGCCCCAAGCCGTCACCCGCCTGCCAGTTGCCGTATCTTGTTACTTCAAGCCGATGATCGACACGTCAAATAAAATAAAAATAAAAAAAGTTGCATGCAAGCTGATTCTGGAAACATCAAGAATATCACACATACACACAGAGAGATAACCGCCCACCCTTGAATAATTGACATGTGAATGATGAATCTCGAAGATTGTCGGGGTGTGACGAGACCCTGTCGGTAACGCGACGGGGCACGCAAGCTGCATTCGGAAAAGAAGGACGGAAGAAAGAGACGAGCAAGCTTGCTCCTGATTTTTTTTTTTTTTGATATGATTTGTCGCACATTGGGTTGTTAAAAAGGACAGCAGGAAGAGAAAGGAAGAGACGCTTAGTGGAACGTGAAGGGGTCGCAGCCGCGAACGTTGGTCACAGGCTAAAGGGAAAGGCAACACGGGCCGAGCGTGAGGCGAAATGCAAGAGGGGCAGGGCACAGGTCCAAAAAGACCGGCAGAAATCAGGCCAGGGTTCAAACCTCGGCATAGATGTCGGCTGTCAGGTCGGAGAGGGATGAGGGAGGCGCCTCGAGGGCCGCGTCAGCCTCAGCGTTGACTGAATCACGAATCTCCTTATCAATGGCCTTGATCTCCTCTTCGGAGCCTCAATCATGCGGTGCTTCATCATGGTGATGGGGTCAAAATCTGTGCGCATCTTCTTGATGTCATCGCGCCTGTGGAACGACATCGTGGTGTGAGGGGGACACACCAGACACCTCAGGCCGGGATGCAGACTCTTTTTTTTTTTTTTTCTTTTTTTTTCTTTTTTTTTTTTTTTTTTTTTTTTGGGGGGGGGGGGGGGGGGGGACGGGGGGCTTTGGACTCACGTGCGGTACGTCGTGTCGGGGTCGGACATGGAGTGGCCCGAGTAACGGTAGGTCTCCATCTCGAGCACCAAGGGGCCCTGGGTCGCGCAAGACCATGAGACGGTGCTCAACTTCAAAGCAACCGCACCTGCAAGGGAAAAAGAAAAGGACCAATGACCAGCCTGCATTGACTTACGTTTTCGCGAGCGTAGTCGGTGGCCCAACGCGTGGCCTCACGCACTGCCAGCAAGTCTTGGCCATCGACCTGAAAAGGCACGAGCCAACATTGAGGCGATAGCGAAAGCAGATCAATCATGCTTCCATGGGACCGAGCGGACGGAATAACGCACCAGGAGACCGGGGATGTAATCGCCGCGCGTGTAGTAAAGGGTGGAGGCCGACGAGCGCTGGACGGAGGTACCCATGCCGTATTTGTTGTTCTCGCACACAAAGACCACGGGCAGCTTCCACAGCTTGGCAATGTTGTAGGCCTCAAAGACCTGGCCCTGGTTGGAGGCGCCATCGCCGTAAAAGGCAAAGTTGACACCATTGTCCTTGAGGTACTGGTGAGCCAACGCGACACCCGCGCCCACAGGCACCTGAAGAAAGCAAGGCATCGAAGAAGCCGACAAGTCCAGCAGGGTGGTGTGGTCAACGAGATTGAATGTGGGATGGCACTGTGGTAGAAACGGCTCAGGGCGACGAGGGGAGGGCAGGGTAAGACCCAGAGGTTGACACTGACCTGGGCACCGACAATGCCGTTGCCACCGAAGAATTTCTCGCCATAGATGTGCATGGAGCCGCCCTTGCCCTTGGAAGCACCGGCCGAGTTGCCTGAGCAGAGACAGCGCGTGTTTTTAGGCAGGAGATGAGATGGTGTTCAGGGGTGTCTCAAAATCCATGGATGAACAAGGGGTGTGGGACACCAACCGTAAAGCTCCGCAAGAATGGACTTGACCGACCAGCCCCACATGTAGGCCCAACCGTGGCAACGGTAAGCCGTGATAATGCTATCCTCGGGACGGAAACCGGCCGTCATGCCGACGCACACGGCCTCCTGCATTGCGTCAGCAACACGAATGCAAGTGAGATGGACAGGAGCGCACACAAAGCGAGGCGGGAAGGACCAGATCTCAAAGAGCGGGCATGTCAAAAACAACAACAACAACAACAACAAAAGGTAGTTGTGCGCCAAAAAGAAAACGAGTTGGCGTGGCTTGCACACCGCGGTAACGGGCTCTCAAAGGGATGGGCGAACCTGGCCAGAGTAAAGATGGCAGAAGCCACGAATCTGCTTGTTGCGATATGATTCACCGGCACGGGTTTCCATGCGGCGGATGGTGGCGGCGTCCTTGTAGTACTTGAAGGCATCCTCCTTGGTGAGTTCGACCTCGGTCGAGGGCAAAGAATCGAGCTTGTGGCCCTTGTACTCACGCTAAAATTGTCCCACGCCGTACATCGGGTGCAAAAGGGGTGGTTGAGGTGTAGTAAGGACAGCAACGGAAGCCGTTTGGTCGTTCACAGCGAGCGCGCATCTCCTGGCACTGTCGGCCCTGCGCTTCGCTATCTCTCTCTCGGGAAAAAAAAAAAAAAAAAAAAAAACGTGGCAAGTCAAGTCACCCTGAGCGAACCCACATACCACGGTGAAAGAAGCCGTGTCCGAGGCGTATGCGCGGCTGAGGGCCGGCAGCTGGTTGGCCTGTTGATACACAGAACAGCAAACAGGAGCATTGATGGAGTGAGATGGGAGCGTGATCCCCACAAACGCAAGGTCAGGAGGCGCTCGCCTCCCCGGGCACACCACATTCATATCTCCTCCCGTTCATCACCAGCAACACAACCTCACACACACACACACACACACACACACAGCCACACACACACAGCCACACACGCAGAGATAGAAAGAGAAAAGCAGGCAGTGGGGAAGGGTGAGTTGCTACTACCACTGCCGCTGCCATTCCTCTCCCTTCTACACACACGCACACACACACACACACCCATCTCTCTCTCTCTCTCTCACACACACTCAGTGTGTGTTTCGTTAGCGATTGCACCATCATTACGTGATCTCTCTCTCTCTCCCTCTCAATCTCTCTCTCTCTCTCTCTCACACACACACACACAAGAACCATGCAGGCAGACAGACAAGAGCGTGTGTCGGTCATCCCTGGTAGCTGGCTGGGCACTAGTTTCTGTCCGTTGCCCCTTCGGCCATCAGGGAGCCAGGAAGGAGAGGCGAGGGGCAAGAGGGCAGGCGCTGCCGTTTCCAAGACGTACCGCACGCCGAGAGAAGGAAGCAGCAAGCGCCATCGTAAACGGGGATGGGGGTCAAGTCTTGTACAATGCTACAATTTAACCTCAGCCACACATCCATGGTCAAGTGGAAGCAGCTGACAGTGTACCAACACCACACACTCCGCCTTGCTTGACAAAGTCAGCCCACTTGTCGCACAACGTGTGTGTTAAAAAGAAATACATCTCACTGAGTTCGTTTTCTGTCGCCGATCGGCAAGCAGGCAAAAATTTGTGGAACCTGTAAAAACAAGATGGGCTGCTCTTGATGGACACGACAGGTAGAATGCAAGCTTTATCAATTTCTGCCCCAAGCAGACACGGGCCTGTGCTTTCGTATCGGTGCTTTTGAAACCATGCCGCCCGGCTTCCCCATCAAACAGAACTGTTCCATTGACGCAGTTCCCATAGGAGAGCCTTGCGACGCTCCGCTTTCTTGATACCAATGGCATCCAGGTCGGCCATGGTCAACCAGGGCAAAACAACTGCATCCACGTCGTGCTGCTCAAACAGGTCAGCCGTGTCTTCATCACCAAAGCCCTGTCGCTGCAGCCATTCTCGGACCGAACTCGTGCCGAGCTGATTATCGCGAGCCGACAAGCCCCGCACTACCTGATCCAATGCCACTTGAGGATCCATGACGCGCCGCAAAACCTCCATCATGCGCCGGTAGGGCCCCACCTTACAGGGACCCACGCGCTCGCAAAATTGAGTATAGTTGTATTCCCGCAGGGTCTGCGGGTCGAGGTCGCCGACCACCGCAGCCGGGTCCACAGCGAGCGGGAGAATCACTTTCTGGACAAATTCCAACATACTCGCAGAGCTGTGACGCGCCCGCTTCAACTCTTCTAATGCGCCCATTGCTGCAGGTTGCTCCTCCCGTAGCTGCATTGCCAACTCCATCATATCTTTCTGCAGCGCCAGAACCTTGCGTCGGGTAGCCGCCCAATCAGCCAGGGCAATCAGTGATACGCCGGCCAAGGACGCCGCTAGTTGCTCGATGTTGTCTTGGAACATGAGAGGCGCGTAACCGGGTATGGACATCATGCCACCCATGCGGCTCATGTCGCCCATGCCGCCCATGCTGACCATGCCGCCCATACTGCCCATGCCGCCCATGCCGCCCATGCCGCCCATGTTTAGAGGATACATATTGCCCATGTTCAGAGGATACATGGCGCGAGATGGCCCGCCCATGCCCAACCCCATCGTTCCACCAGGACTCATGGCAGGTTCGGGCGATGAGTGAGCTGCTGTCGAGTATACCCCGTCAGCCCGCCAGTCACGACTCGCAGTAGAAGCAGCATCCGATGCCCCATCCTCGCCCAGCGGCACAAGAGCCGCTGGGCCTCCTGCGCTAGTCTTCGCTCCACTTGACGAGGAAGCAATTCCGGGTGGTCGATTCGGCTGCCCCTCGCTACGGCTTGCCACCCCGCCGGTGCGACGGGATGAAGAGCCTTGGGGCTTGGGCTGGGAAGTACCTGCATCTGCCGCAATGTCATCCTCCAAGGGCACCATGGAAGGCGGGCCAGCATCATTGCTGTCGCTAGAAGGCTCGTCCAAGCCCAGAGGCAACATGGGTGGTGGTCCGTCATCAACCAAGTGCGCCAGTGAATCCCCAGCACGATTGCCCAGCGCATACCCAAATCCGCTCGTAGACTGTGCGTCTTCACCTGGTCGATGAAGACCTGACGACCAGCCGGAAGTCGATGACTTGGTATCCTCCATATCAAGAGGCACCATGGACGGCGGTCCATCGTCGGTCAAGGGGGTGCCGCCCCACGCAAGACTACTCGTATGTGAACGCGTTGAGGCAGCAGAGGGCTGATCCCACAAACTTGATTGGCTCGTGAGACTTTGCCCTTGGCTCTGACTACGACTGCCTTCGCTAAGAACCTGGCTGGCACCAGAGAGCCGGCTGGAGCGAAGAGGGCTGCTGTGACCAAACATGTCGACAGAACTTCCCGAACTGGCAGGGGTGGTCAGAGGAGATCCGGGGGCACCGCCAGAGCGCGGAGGGTGACGCAAGTCATGGCTGCCACGACTACCCAAGTCCGATGCGGCCGGTGTGCGGAGGGCTGGCGGAGCTGAAGTTATAGAGGAGGGGGCAGAGCTACGTGGCAACTGGCCGTTGCCCACAGGTGAGCCACCGGGATGCCAAGAGCCGACCAAAGTGGATGAGCTTCCGTTGCTGCCGCTGGCCAAGCTGGCGGCAGGCACGGCTTGCAATTCTTCAGGGGATATCTTTTGAAAGTGACCACAGCTGCTGAAATCCGAGTCGACAATGTCCTCCCAGCACAAGATATCAAAGCCCAAGCGCTGCAGCTCATGAACGGAGAAGGTCATGAGCCGACGGTCCGGGCAGTCGTAAGAAAAGGCACCGTGGCCCTCCTGGTGGCAAAGGGCGCAGCGGTGGACGCGCGAGCAGGTGCTGACGCTACGACAGCCGAGGGCGCGTTTGTGGTTGAGCTTCATGCAATACTCCTTGTCGCAGGACTCGCGATAGTATGGCGCAAACCAGTCGGGAAAGTTCATCCCATTGCGTCGCCAGTCAGCCACAAGATCGGTGACTTCAGCACGATCTAAGGCACTATGCATGTGTTGGAAGAGACGCGGGTAGTTTTGGCTCAAAACTTTCTTGGTGATGACGTTGCCCACTCGAGGTGTTTTGCAGTTGAGAACTCTATACCAGCGTGTCAAGCATGTGAAAGCATGGATGAGCGGCATGAAAAACGTAAGCGAAGGGGAGAGAGGAGCTTGTGAATGCAAGGCAAGACATGGCAGGCCCTCTCAGGTTTGGCCAACTCGAAACTCACTTGGCATGTGGTGCATAAGTGGGCGCCAATTGAAGCTGCAAGACCTCGCGAAGTTCCTCCAGACTACTGCAGTCAATCAATACAAAGCCCATGGGATGGTCCGGGGACGCGTTCGGCACCAGGACGCACTCTTCCAGACCCAACCGGCCCAGGGCATCCTCGACAGTGGCAACAAAGTTGCGGAAGCGAGCGGGTTCATCGCGCACGTCCGGCAACATAATGGCGTGGACATAGTGCAGCATCGCAAAGGTCAACTGCAAAGTACACCACCCCAGAAACGGAACACGCAATGCAGGTCGTCGAGCAAGTGGTGGTCAGTGACCTCGACTTTCCAAACAAGCAGAGAGGCAGACAGAGTGGAAAGAGAGCGGAGGTTGACCACCCGTCTGTACGAGGCAGGCCTCGGTGCAGATCCGGGTGGTGGTGACGGCGACGGTGTGTGCAAGGCTGAAATCCCACAAGGTTTGTGGAATCAGCGACGCCAATAATTTCTGCAGCCACATCGAGATTTGAAATGAACGGCAGCGGCACCAGCCACGCGGCCTCGTGAAGCCGTGGCGACAAAAGGCGAGAGGATATACACCGGCAACAACGACATCGCCACCTTGTTCAGACCACGGCGGCAAACCACAAACCGGAATGGATGGCTATCGGCGCTCTCAGATCGCCGCGGTGATAGTGGAGCCCACTAGCTAATGGATGCACAGCGACAAAATGAAGAGAGAGACAGAGAGAGAGAGAGAGAGAGAGAAGATGGTGATGATGATGGTGGTGGTGGGGAGCACATAGACGGCTCGTCATGTGTCCTCTCCCCGCCTTCCCTCGTCCATCCTCTTCAGACCTCCAAGACGACTTGATCTGCCAGCCAGTGAGATGAGATGAGCGTGTACTCACTCTCCCCGCCACACGCCGCTCACCAGTCAGAGTCATCCCGTCCGTCCGCCGTCTCATCAGCCTGCCCTCTCTCTCTCTCTCTCTCTCTCTCTCTCTCTCTCTCTCTCTCTCTCTCTCTCTCTCTCTCTCTCTCTCTCTCTCTCTCTCTCTCTCTCTCTCTCTCTCTCTCTCTCTCTCTCTCTCTCTCTCTCTCTCTCTCTCTCTTGTCTGCTTCGTTCGCGTGTGTCTTCTTCGTCTTTTGTTCTTTTGTCTTCTTCTTTTGTTCTTTTTTGTCTTCTTTTGTTCTTTTCTCTTTTCTTATTTCTTTTGTCTGGTGTGTGTTTGATAAAGGAGCGCAAGCAAGAATCATTCGCACAACACTCATGCACATGTACCTGTACATGTACTCTTCAGCATACACATGTGATGAAGAATAATTCATGCTTTGGTCTAACTTTGGCTCATCACGGGTGCTGTGCTTGTATCATGTTCACGTTCGCGTCTGGCATTAAAAGATGGGAGCAGACGGGCTCGCAATCAAGGTTCGTTTGAGTTGTTGGATAGAAAAGAGAAAAAGCAAAGCAGGTCAACGACTCGTGAGATACAAAAGCCTCTCCCCCGAGGCAAGGCGGCGACTGATTTCCCCATATGACAATCCACACCAGTAGTCTGTCCCCATGTGTGACCATGGTCGCCATGGGCCGCAGGCCCAGGCATATCCGACTCTCACCAATCTGATAGTCAGGAACCCATTTTTATGCGCGCTACAAAACGGTCAATTATCAAGCATCGAAAGTTTGGGGATCAGGCAAGGAAGAGACCAACATTATCCGTGGCCAGTCTCCGGCACTGGTCGGTCTGCAAAATCAGCTGCGAGAATGCACTGCCTTTGACATCGAATCGGAACCCACGTTCCCTGTCAAGACGTTCTCCTCGAGCACCGCTTCCACAAGATCTAGGTCAACACGCTCGTCCTCGGCCAACAAGTCGTCGGCAATCTGCTGTAGCAAATACGCCTCGTCTTCATCATGTAGGGCAGTTGGAGCAGTCTCACCCGGCGGCGCATAATAGACCTTGGTGGTCGTTTTACAAATGTTACGGTGTGTTGCGGCAATTTTGGGGGGCACGCGCAACGGCCGCGTGGGTGGCACGGAAGCCAGTCGCCGTGCGTCAAAGGCTTCGGCGGCGGCATCTGACATCATGCATTCTTGCCACTCTTGCCGCTGTGCAGGTGAAAAGCCATCAGCATCCTATTGGGCGCCACCATCATCCATTCGCATCAGGGTTTGATCACAAACAGTGTCCAGCCACGCCTCGACCCTGTGGCCCAGAGATACGTACAACACTGGAAAGATTGAGATGTCGCTGACGCAGCTCGTGGTGTCGGGCCAGATAGTCGGAGTAAAATTGCCGGCGAGCCTGTGGTGATATCTCCACCACGTCGCAAGCTACAGCCAGACAGTCGAAATTTATCAGACCCAATCCAGGTATCCCAATCATACGCACGCGTGCGTATGCGAGCTGCTCACCTCGTGGGCCCTCCTCCAAGCCACCGTACACCGTTACCAAGAGGCACCCGAGCTCCTTGTGATTGATGCCGTGGGTGCGCAGTGTATGCAGCTCTAGTCGCTGCACGGACTGAATCAGGCACTCGCTACGTCGATCAGGGCGCGTGATGGCACACATCAGCATGGCCTCCGCCAACTCAATCAAATACATGGCACCACTCTTCTGCGTCATAGATTGTGATACATACCCATACGCAGCCAGTTGTTGGGCGTTGCTGCGACCATGCTCGCTCGGCTGCTTGCGCCTATGTAGGGGAAGAGTGAGCATGAAAGGGCTGATTGTCGCGGCTGCCCGTGCTTCGAATGACAACAGAGTCCAGCCAGACCCTTTCACACCTGGCCTAACACCATAAGTCACATGACCAGCACTTACCGTTTACTGGTTTTAAAGTCGACAATATAGAATTTGTTTTTGAGCCTAATGATCACGTCAAACCGAGGAAGAAAAAACAACGACAAGAAGAAGTCATCAGCACATCCTCGCTTCAGTTGCTGAAGCCTAACAGACTTCCGAGGGCAAATCCTGACGCACATCATGAGCAAATCAAATCGCCCGGCCACATCTCCGTCATTGTCCCAGACTGTCACTTCCTGCAACGTCAAACGGGGGTCGACGCTGGCCAAAAAGGGCTGAACGCTTGCAATGTGCTCCAAAATATCTCCGATATACAGATACTCGACCCCTGTCTCCGCGTCAGAGAGCGCATCGGGCTCTTGGGAAGAGGTGCGCACCAGCAAGTGATCGCCCTCCACCTCGTCCAACTGCACGGGCGTGCCGTTGGCCCGCACGATATAAAAACCATCACAAGGTCCATGTCATGATTTGAAGAAGAGAACAGACACAGCCAGACAAGCACGCACGCAGAGCCCCTGGCTATGCTTCAGAAGATGCACGTACAATGGTGCCTCGCAGAAAGTGCTCAATATATGCATGTAATCGATGACCGCGATCCAAGGTAGCCTGGCACATGGCTTTCCAAGTTTCTTGGCCGTGCTCTTCCACGCCTCGTTGATGCCACCTAACATGGACGCGACCAGCGTCGAGAAGCGTTTGCAAGTCACCGGTTGACGTGGAGAAAAGGCTCACGAGATTTCGAATCAAGCGTGGATGGGTGTCATGACAGGGATACGCACACGTCAAGAAATTTGCGAAAGGAGGTGTTGTCCAGCACAGTTGTGACGCTGGGGATAGGCACCTTGGTCACTGGGTGCAAGTACACGCTGCATGCAACCAGCAGTGAGTGGTGACAACAAGGTCGCAAGTAAGCATAAGAGAGAATGCTGCAGCCACCCCACGTGAACGAGGCTTGAAGCGCTCAATCGGCGCCCTGGCCTCGTCTCGACACATGCCGCTCTGAGCGTACCGAAAAGGCTTCTTAAAGGAGCCTGTCAGGGTGGGGTGGCGCCCATGTTGCAGTGTGGCTTGGGGTAGCTGTTTGAGCTCTTGACGAATTTTCCGGTGTAGGTTGGAGAGCGTCCGTGTGCCAACGCCCCAGGCTCGAGTCCATGACCACAAGCCAAAACCGGATGGGCGATGCAGTGCCTGCCACATGATGGCTTGGGCCGAGCGCTGAGTTGAGACCCGTTCCTTGATCAAGAACACCACAAAGGTGTGCTAGTATGCGGCTGCCACGCCTTGGCCGAAGCGAAAGAAGCCGGTGGGAGAGGTGCACCAAGAAAAAATGCAAGTCAAGTGTTACTCTCAGCCTCAGCCACTTTGTACTCTTCCTGCCTGAGTTTTTATTCAAGTTTTGAAGCAGATTCAGATCCAGATCCAGATCCAGATCCAGATCCAGATCCAGATCCAGCTCCAGCTCCAGCTCCAGCTCCAGCTCCAGCTCCAGCTCCAGCTTCAAATCAAATCAAATCAAATCAGACCATCCCCTCCCCCCTCAATCGGTCGTTCAAGCAAAAAAAAAAAAAAAAAAAATCCATTGCCTTTGCTCGTCATTTTTATCTGACATTCGTTCAAGAAAGAAATTCATTTTACAAACAACATGTGTGGAAATCAGATTCTGATCCAGCTATGGCAGGGCATCGGTCAAAATCCGCCGCTCCGCGGTCTCTGCGACTTGCAAAACCGTCAGCGCGCGATCATCGTAAACGGGAAACGCCAAGTGAATGCCAAGTAAATTCATTCGCAACCTGGCGCAATACAAAGGCCGTAACTTTTGCTCTGATACTTGGTCATGTCTTGTATCTGGCTGTCCGACATAGCACACTGGCGAGGGCGCCAATTCTAACAGACGACAGCGCCTTTCTCCAAGGGATTGAAGATGTGACGAGGCCAAAAGGCGACACATCTCAATCGCAGGAGGCGTTCCTTTCAATCAATATAATGAGGCCTCATCCTAAGCGACATGTCTCTCTGTCTCTGTCTCTGTCTCTGTCTGTCTGTCTGTCAG